AAAACTGTAATCGTAACAATTATAATAAAAGTTGTTGCATTTTGCATCACAGAGAGTTTGGCATCTGTGAAATGATTTATAAGGCAAGTAAAACATTTGAACTTATGATATCTTCTCATCTTCTGGTATTTGAATTAACAGCTGTGTTTGTTTTAATGAATAAACTAAACTTTTCAAGCACAAATGGGAGACTTTTACAGTCAGTTCCATAATTTGCTTATGTGATATGATGCTATAGTTGGTTGGGGGTTTTTTGKTTTTTTTTGTTTGTTTGTTTTTATGTTCCCTTTCAGTTTGTTTGGGGTATTTTTGTATCTACTCCATGCTAAATTTTCTGACCAGAATAATGGTAAATTATAGTATTTAGTATAGTAATAAGCTGCATTAATTTCCTTTTTGTGCTTCTTTGGAGGTTTGGGTTTGGTGGTTTTGTTGTTTTGTTTTTTTTTTTGTTTGTTTTTTGTTTTTGTTGTTGTTGTTGTTGTTGTTGTTGTTTTTTAAAGAGAATTTTCTTCATATTCCAGGACTGGGAATGTGAATTCAGGGATTTTCTGAGCCCACTAATTTGAAGTTGAGTCTGCATTCTCATTCAGTGTGAGATATTCATGCCCGGATTTTCAATGCACACTGCATGTGAAAGAAGAGACCTCTCCATGTGTTGATGATCCCTTTTCTTCCTGCTTAGAGAAAAGGTTTTATCCTCCCTGCAAGAAACTTTCCTGTTTTTTTGAGCCTGGAATGGAGCATAAAAGCAGAGATTTGAAAGTTCCCTGGGCACCAGGAGGTGAGCACAGGCAGGTGATCTCTCACCCTTTCTCCTCTAAGGGTGACACAGTTTGGTTGTGTCATTATTGTGACTCTACACCCGTGAGGATTCATGGCAAAGGTTATCAGAGCTGCATGGGTGGGAGAGGAGTGGCCAAGGCATCTGCAGCAATTATGGAAACACAGAAAATCTCTGTGGCTGTCACATTGGGGAATTTTTTTATGAAGTGCCTTCTCTTTAAGGGGTCTATTTGGGCAGTTATAAATTGCATGATGTTAAAAAACCCCGAGAAATCTACAAATGCTGGGTGGGAAAACTTGCCATTTCAAGGTTTGTGTACTTTTATGAAGGGAGAGACTGGTTTTTATTCTATTTTTGAGCAATGCCTCATGCAAGAATTTCTGTGTTTTCTCAAACTCTCTGGCAAGTGCTTTAATACACTATTCAGTGTAACACACTATTAACTTCTGTTTTAATTCAGATGCAAAAATACTTCTGCTGTACCATTACTGTGAAATATCTTTTAATGCCAAGCAGGAATGGAAGAAAGTTCTGAAACTTAAACAATCATTCTGCTGTTTGAAATTTATTTTTAAAATACAGAGGAAGGAGAGAAGTGCTTGATGTTGTGGTTTCTAACGAAAGCGCCAATTTCTGTTATCAGGAACATCAATTGTTTGTGGCATTAGGATGTGACCAATAAGTTCTCTTTCTCAGACTTTCATCTGGAGCACCTCCTCCCATCCAGTGCAAAAATGAAAGGAGGCTTTTTTCTCTAACAGCATTTCTGGGTTGAGGTGGTGGTGCTGCCCTGTGCTGTGCTGAGGAGTGAGCGTGGAATGCCAGCTGACACAGCTCAGCTGCCCCTTCCTCTGCCTCTTTTGAGCCCTTACAGCTTTCCCAGGGAGGTATCCTGAGCCTGAGCTTGTGATGGGCCAAAGGTTCAATTCACAAACAGGTTGCAGAGTTTAAAACTGCCCAATGAGAGTGTTTCTCTTGTTCTTATGCAGGGTTTTTGTGCTGTGTGTGGCACTCGCCCGTTTCCTCTGGAAACAAATCTTTTCCTGACCTGCCTGCTGGTGGAGCCTCTCATTTGAAATGAAATCTTGCTGATAGAGCAGTCTGATTTTGGAAGATGGATCATTTTAGTGGTGGTAAAACCTTCAGCTTTCATCTGTTGACGTTCACCCCCTTTTACTACACCCAGCCAGCAGAGCTGCTGATGCCCTTTGGGAATTGAACTTATTGTGTAATATATTGAGTTGCTGATTTGAGTATTGGGAAGCCAAGAAGATCAACATCAAAACATTTTTCCTTCCCTTTTCCCAGGCTCAAGTACACTCCAGATACATCTCCACCCCTCTGGTTGTCTCCACAGGTTTCACTCAGTTCCTTTGGTGAGGCAACGTGTGGCACCGGGGTTTGGGGTTAAGACATCGTGGTTTCTCCCTGCTGCTCCTCGTTTCTCACCCTTTTCTTCCACTGCTGCTTCCTTCTCTCTCATTTCCTCTACTCCACCATGGTCACTCTGTTGCCCACAATCTCCTTGTTGTGTGGCTGTTGTTACCTCCAAACCCTTCTGAGCTTGCTGTCCCCTCATTCCTTCGTGTCCATCCCTGTCACCTGATTTTCCTGTTCCCTCCTGTCCCCTCTGGTGTCCCCTCAGAGCCAGAGCTGGAATCGGCTGTGACCTCCACAGGGCCACCCCTGCACCTCTATGGCCAGGAGGAATGTGGAACACAGGAGACCAGAACATAAATTCAACTTCAGGATAGAGATGTAGGATTAGACAGGTCAAATTCCATCATCAGWGGGCATATTTGGTCATAATTTATCAGGAAGAAACCCAGGAGGACTCTTGAAGCTCATTGATGATTTTAAATCCAATACATATGTCTCCTTCAGGAAAGAACTGAACCATAAAATCTATGTTTTTCCATGGTGCAAGGTAAATTTCTCTGTGTGGAAAGGAAGTCGATTGTGTAATCGTATTTTGACCTGAAATTCAGAGCTGAGCCACAATTTGATATTTTAAAATTACAGTTGCTGGTTAATTTCCTTTTATTAGCACAAGTGACACCAGGGAAGTGGTGCAAAACAGAACTTGGAGTTTAAAAAAAAGACATCTATATCAATATGATGTATTAATGTATTTCACTAAAAAAAGATATTCTGAGCCTTTGTGGGGTAAATTTTGAAGAGGCAGCTTGTGTCTGAAGCCAGCAGGAATGGCCGATGGCTTCAAATTGCCTTCACTAAGCTTTCAAAACCAGGATGGTTGTTGACTAGGTTCTTGGTTGAGAGAATATACATAAATAACATTGTATCATTATTAATATATATTATTTATGTACATTTTATAATAAATAATGTAAGAGGGTTTACAGCAGTTTTATGGCAAATGCTGAGGAAATTCTGCAAAATGTGTCTGTGAAAGACTTGGCTGTGACAGACATTAGATTATATCAGCAATAAGAAGCTCTGTGCTGAAAAACAGAGATTTATTTTTCTAATGGAAGCAATTCTGATGATGTCTTGGAGCTGCTCAGAAAGTGTTTGGGACATCAGCACCTACAGCTGGTCTGAGCCTGTACTGAATGCTTTGGTCAGTGCTTTAGAGCTGGGCTTGGGCTACAAACTTTGAAGCAGAACTCTGAAATTCCTTCAAACTCTTGTTTTGGTCCACTCCTTGCACTGAGCTAGCAAGGAGGTTTCAGATAAAAGCTCAAAATCCTCTGCAGTGGGTGTGGGACAGGTGAGGAACTCAGGATTTTGCCCCAGATTCACCCCGTGACCGTATCAGTGACAGATTCGGTGCCACAGCCAAAAGGAATCTCTCCCAGTTCTTAAAACCCATGAGTTTTGGACAATAGTTACAACATTTACTTTCATTTACGTCAGTATAAATCACCCCCTTTTGTGCAGAATGAAAGGACATGCTAGCAATTTACTACACCTATACCCTCAGAAAAATCCCTAGACAAAACACTTCCCTAAAATCAGCTATTTAATGCTGCCCCTTTGCTGTGGGAACTTAAATTTTCTTTCATTTACAACACCAGACAGATTCTTGTCTTGTGTGTGGAACTGAATTTCCAGGTAAGTGTCCAGAATTTTTTTTAAGCTTACATAAAATGTGCCTTTTTCTTTTTTGGTGTGAATCCAGTGATGTAAATGGCAGGACCATTCAACAACACTTTGCCTATATTTGTATATTTTAGACTTTGCAAAGGATTGGCAGTGCCTGTAGATGTTTCACTAATGTTACCAGGTATCAATTTAGAGTTTGAATTAGAAAAAAATCAGTTTAAGGAAAGAAAAATTACTTCAGATTATGGGTAAACTATGTCGGGATCTTTACAAAGCAGATTTGTGTCTTTAATTTATTTCTTTACCCAATAATCTGTGGCCACAACTGCAGATGAAGGATTAATGTGACCCATTCTGGTTTTAGCATASATTTAGATCAGATCATTCAAATACTTTTTGCACCATACTCAGAGAAAAAAAAAACCACTTATTTCGATGAGATCAATTTACTGGATCACTAGGATTTCACTATGTATGCCTGGTTTCAAGATTTTAAAAAATCTTATAAAATTCTTTTAAAAAATTCTTTTCCAGATTGTGATGGTACACAACATACTTAGCTGAGGCTAAATTCCCAGGTTGGAACATTTGTGATTAATATTGGATAAAATTCTTCAATTCTTCCTCAGTAATATTTATACATCTTGTCTCTCCTTTGTCTTTTAAAAAAGCACACACAATGTTTTAAAATTTTATTTTAAAACTTAAAATTTGTTTTAAAAGATAAAATATTTAAAAATATTTAGTATCTAATGAGTAAAATACTGGTATGTTGATCATTATATGTACAATTTTGAAATAATAATTGCTGTAAAAATTGCTATCAAATTTAGAATTTGTGTTTGGTGATTTTACACTTTAAGCAGAAATGGAGGGGAAGGAAAATAGGAGGCTACATCCCAAATCCTCTAATATTTAATATTTAATATTTAAAAAAACAAAATATGATGTCACATGTACTTAATTTAAATACCACCTTGTAGTGATAAATCCGTTTTATCTGTGTTATTAAAATATTTTACTTCATAATGTAAATAATACTGAGCTGTTTCATTTAGTTAGTTCTATTTATACTCAGAAATATATGGGTTTTTTTTTTTTTTGTTTTGAAGCATACAATTTTAAAAATTTTGGTTCTTTTAAACAGGACTCAAGTCTTGATATCTAAATAATGGTAAGTCTACAATGCCTTTATTCTCTTTTGTTATCGAGTGTTTCAAATATGCTACAGAAGACTCAGTCAAACTCAAATTTGAGGGTATTTTTAGCTTTTTAAAACAAAATGTTCTTAAAGTATGAAAAACAGTTTTCTGAAAATCAACCCCTGGATTCCTGTCGTGGCATAATGCTGCATTTTCTCTGCAGAAGTGCTTCAGAAATTATGTGTAATTATGATTTTTATGTCAATATTGTTGAAAGATAACTCGGCTTCGTGAATTACATTACACAAGTGATACAAACATCTGTATTACAGACTACAAAACTCCCCAGCAGCAATAGCACCCTTTATGTAACCTTCTGTTGCAAAATAAGGAAATAAACCTTGGAATATTTGACTGAGTGAGTTTTGTGACCTTTGTGAATTGTCCCACTGACTTCAAAGGAGCGAGAACTTTCTCATTATAGTAAAAAATTATGGAAATTCCTCAGTGCTTGCCAAAGATCCATTCCAGGAGGATGTGTATTCCACACCATCTCTGTATTTATTTAGGATTGGCTGATTGATGAAAGATGCAGCCTGGTCTTTTCTGGGTCCTGACAGAAAATTGTTCTTGCAGAGCTTTGCTGACCACGATGTGCTGGGCCAGGCTTTCGAGGATGCTCTGGAAGTGTTGCAGCAGCACTCTGACAGAGAAATGCAGTGTCCACCAGGTAAAACCCTTATTCCACTTCATTTCCCAGCTTGGATTTTCACAGGCAAGCACCTCTTGAACCGTACAGCTGGGACACTAATATCCCAAAAGTGGATTAATGGGATATTTTGGGAGGATGAAAAGGGGTGAGAATATTTAGAGGTTTCCCACCCCTCCATTAATACTGCCCAGTGTGGTGAGTGTGTTCCAAGTCACAGCACAGGGAAAATGTTGGACTGGCCCTGTTCACCCTCCCCCAGCACCAGTCCAGCACTGAGCTCAGTTTTCCTGTAATCAGAGGGTACATGACTGTTTTGCAGTAGCCTTTTTCCAATTTTAATGCTTTAATATCAAAACACCCTTCTGCTGTGCCATCAAACCCACTGCAAAAGAAAAAAAAAAAGGGAAAACAGTAAGTAAAATTAATTTCCTCATTTAATTTTTTTGTACACTAATGCATAAAATATAACTGTCACTGCCTGACAGTGCCTTTTCCTTTCTACATGTATTACAAGGCTACAAAGATCCAAATTAATATGTCTGGTGATCTATTTGTCGCTCTGTTATCTAGTAACCAAACAATTGCATGATGCTATGAAATACCTGATGTTTCATCTTAAAAAAACTGCTTTTCGTTGTGCAGGCTAACAAAACCAGCCCAGGGGTGTGATCAGCAGTAGCAGTGCAGATTTCACTGCATGATCTTCTGATGTGGAAGATCTTCGCTCTGGACACTTTATTATCTAGAAGGCAGCCACAGGATAAATGCTTTTTGATAAGCCCAGCAGCATGTTAAATTATTTGCTGCTGTTTTGGTTTGKTTTTTTTTTTCATTCTTCTCTTGCTTTTACTCAGTTTTTTCTTCCCCCTCCCAATTCCCAGGTTATAAAAACTGCCTGACCATGATCAACCATCACCACCACCTCCGAGCAAGCCCCAGTTACTGCCCAGCACCATCTGTGGAGGAGCGAGGGTACAGCTGGAGGAACGTGATTGTGAGTGAAATCATTGCTAATAACAGTCAGACATAACTGGAATATTGCTTATATTGGAATATTGGAATATTGGTTGGGATTTCTGATGCAAATCATTATGGTAACACCAACAGAAATCTGGTCTAGCCAGGAATGATTCGGATGAAACTGAATATGGGAAATTCACTTTGAGAAATATGATTGCAAATGTGCAAAATGTGATTGATAGTATCTTTTTATGAGTCAGCTGTTTGCTTCTGGTGTTTTCTGTGGTTCGTCACCAAAGTTGACAACCAACAAGCAAATCTACCAGGGAATAGGTACAAGGGAAGGGGCTTCTTTGTATTGCTTGGGARCAGGCAGAGAACAACAATTTCCAGCTGTAGCTTCTACCACTGTGAAAAAGTACCATAACTTTGATTTCCCCAACAGCAGTTTGCTTTAAAAGCTCTGGAAAGGCCAGTGTTATCTGGACTGTGAGCTCAGGTTCAGCCATTAGAGTTTGTATGAATGCCTAAAAAAAACCTGTGAGCGTGTTCTCCAAGGGATGATGGARAATGATTATTGCAGGGGACATCATTTCAGGTGAAATTATCCACAAAAACCCATTTTCAACCAGCAGATTGACAACAACGTGGGGTGGGAACTGCAGAGTCTGAAGGGGCCCCTGTCCAGGTGGCCCTTGGCTTTTCCTGACTCTGAAAACTGCTCCTCATCCTCTTCCAGTGGAAGGGTTGAAGGTCCAGAGCGAGGCATTTGTGTTGTTTTCTCTCTCAGTTTCTCCTCTTATTCCTGGACATAAATTAGTGTTGCCGGTTACTGGCGCCTCACTGAGTGCCTCTGTGGCTGAGAAAATCCTTCCAGGGATGAGGTGATAAAGAGCTGCATTATGAAAGCTTCGGGCAATTAATTACAAGTTCCTTTGTACTCAGAAAATGTGTTCTGTTGGTAATTTTTTATTGTCTTAATTCTTGCAGAGCAGTGCAGCGGATTTTTATGCAGATGAGACTGTCTACCACACACTGCAGAACACTCCAGAGAGTCAAGTGATGCACACTGCTGCTGGCCAGCCAAAAGCAGGGAAAGGTCTGTAGAATGATCTTATCTTGATGTGTGCATTACGCTACTTAAAAAAAAAAAAAAAAATCAAAAATATCTCTTAGCAAATCATGSTTTCTCCTTTTCCTACTTTTTATTTTTTTTTACTTTTAACAGGAAAAAACATGTGAACATTTAATAATGACTACAATGCAACTGCTAGTGTTCAATTCCCATCTGCTAAATCTTGCAAGATGTGATAAATTTATTATTAACTTATTCTGTCCTTGTTAGCACATGGAAAAACAAACCAGAGATTTGTTTTCACTTCACTTGGGATGAAGTCTGATGCAGAGAAGTAAATTTAGCTATCAATAACATCTTTATCCACTTACACTGCTTATTTTATTCCATGAGGTCCAACAAGCTGTGATTTTCTTGATGGTTTTTTTTACATACATGAAGATTTTTGCACACCTGACTTTATGCCCTTTCTTTCTTTACTTTTAAAATCACCTTTTACCTTTTGTCACTTCCAGCGTCCTTTTTTATGGCTATTTTTCTGCTCCTTTTGGCTGAATTTACTTGAATGGATATCTATTTTGCAAAGAATTGTTCATGTGACATTGGTCATTGCAGTATTTGATTTTTTTTATTGCATTCATTCTTTTTTGGTTGTTTTAGGAGGGGAGGGACTCAGCATCCCTTCCGTAACTGCTGGATGAGATKTCCACTCGGGGCTGTTGTACCATTTTTTGACCATAGGGTCTTTTTAAGAAGCTTCCTGATTCTTTTGCTGCTTCTTGAAATCCCCTTTTCTCGACTTTAAGCACGTGACGTCAATTTTTGGTGTTGTTTCTTCCCATTGATGCTGAACACTATGGTCTCTGTTGCTTAATAGCTACTACTACTACTCCTACTACTCTACTACTGCTACTACTACTGCTATTACTATTGCTATTACCTTCTTATGGGGTTATTTTATGTCCTCTCACAGATTTCTTTGTGTCCATGGTGATATTCCTGCCAGAAATTGTGATTTAGGGGACTATTTCCACTATAATAAATAAATTTAGTCCCCTTAGTTTCTTATTGAGACCAGGAGAGGTTTTCTGTGCACCAGCAATAGTGTGGCCCTTTAGGAACAGAACTGTAGATGAAACAATCAGAGCTGAGGACCCAAATCCTGCATTTAAAGTGTCTTCCATGGATGAGGTGATGAAAAGTTGCATTTTAAAGACTTCAGGCAATGAATTACCACAAGTTGCTGTTTCGGTTTGTGGGG